ATCGGGCGCGCTTGGTCTGGCCTCGGGACCCCCTAGGGTTTGACCTTTGGCCCTGCCATGTCATAAATGTCATCATGTTCTTTTCCGTGACGACCGTGCACTTGTGCACGTTCGGTGCATTCACACCGGGGAGTAGTAAAATACGTACTACTCCCTGATTTGCACATCGTAGATGTGCAGTGACATATTGCGCATGCGCGCATAAGCACGCGGAGCGTGCGACCTTCAGTGGCCCTGCGGAAAAGACGTATACACAAGGTGGACTAGTATAGCTGAGGACTTTCCAATGAGTCATACCGTGCGGCCTATGAGGATTCGGGCCAAAGATCATCGAGTTCACCACCGATCACCGGACTTGAAACGGAGCTTGGGTGGCAAAAAAAGAAGACTGCACTGGAAGGAAACAGTGTTTTTCGAAAGCAGTTCCATTTTGCATACTGTAGTTTGAGAATACCAAAGGGCTGCTCGCGATCGGATGTTCCCACACCTGGATCGTCTTTGAGTTGTTATCGTTTTCCCTACGATGGAGAACGACGGAACCAGTGGATGACGGACACACGACTCGAGAAATTCGCTCCTGATGCAAATACTTCGAAGTACACGAATATTGTTCCATCGCTTCGTTGGCGAAGAGAAAAGTCATGATCATCCCCTGTCACCCCAGTACGTATCGAACTAACTAACCAACTTGTTCAGCTCATTTGTGGCAGCACCAGTAAAGGCGGAAACACGAAGATGATTCCGAACACTATCAACTTACTTAGTTTGTTGGGGTGCAAGGTATAGCTGGAGTTTGATGATTGATAGGGCTGATGCTGATGGTAATGACTAATGTACCCAGCTCTATGCACGTACCTCTACATGAGTAGTTAGTGCGGGGCAGGTTCTGGCACACTTTTTGACCTTTGACCTTTGGGCCAAATAAGGCACACTGTGTCGGTCGTGCTTGGTCTGGCCCCAGGACTTCCCCCAGGGTTTGACCTTTGACCTTTGGGTTAAATAAGGCACACTGTATCGGGCGCGCTTGGTCTGGCCTCGGGACCCCCTAGGGTTTGACCTTTGGCCCTGCCATGTCATAAATGTCATCATGTTCTTTTCCGTGACGACCGTGCACTTGTGCACGTTCGGTGCATTCACACCGGGGAGTAGTAAAATACGTACTACTCCCTGATTTGCACATCGTAGATGTGCAGTGACATATTGCGCATGCGCGCATAAGCACGCGGAGCGTGCGACCTTCAGTGGCCCTGCGGAAAAGACGTATACACAAGGTGGACTAGTATAGCTGAGGACTTTCCAATGAGTCATACCGTGCGGCCTATGAGGATTCGGGCCAAAGATCATCGAGTTCACCACCGATCACCGGACTTGAAACGGAGCTTGGGTGGCAAAAAAAGAAGACTGCACTGGAAGGAAACAGTGTTTTTCGAAAGCAGTTCCATTTTGCATACTGTAGTTTGAGAATACCAAAGGGCTGCTCGCGATCGGATGTTCCCACACCTGGATCGTCTTTGAGTTGTTATCGTTTTCCCTACGATGGAGAACGACGGAACCAGTGGATGACGGACACACGACTCGAGAAATTCGCTCCTGATGCAAATACTTCGAAGTACACGAATATTGTTCCATCGCTTCGTTGGCGAAGAGAAAAGTCATGATCATCCCCTGTCACCCCAGTACGTATCGAACTAACTAACCAACTTGTTCAGCTCATTTGTGGCAGCACCAGTAAAGGCGGAAACACGAAGATGATTCCGAACACTATCAACTTACTTAGTTTGTTGGGGTGCAAGGTATAGCTGGAGTTTGATGATTGATAGGGCTGATGCTGATGGTAATGACTAATGTACCCAGCTCTATGCACGTACCTCTACATGAGTAGTTAGTGCGGGGCAGGTTCTGGCACACCTTTGGACCTTTGACCTTTGGGCCAAATAAGGCACACTGTGTCGGTCGTGCTTGGTCTGGCCCCAGGACTTCCCCCAGGGTTTGACCTTTGACCTTTGGGTTAAATAAGGCACACTGTATCGGGCGCGCTTGGTCTGGCCTCGGGACCCCCTAGGGTTTGACCTTTGGCCCTGCCATGTCATAAATGTCATCATGTTCTTTTCCGTGACGACCGTGCACTTGTGCACGTTCGGTGCATTCACACCGGGGAGTAGTAAAATACGTACTACTCCCTGATTTGCACATCGTAGATGTGCAGTGACATATTGCGCATGCGCGCATAAGCACGCGGAGCGTGCGACCTTCAGTGGCCCTGCGGAAAAGACGTATACACAAGGTGGACTAGTATAGCTGAGGACTTTCCAATGAGTCATACCGTGCGGCCTATGAGGATTCGGGCCAAAGATCATCGAGTTCACCACCGATCACCGGACTTGAAACGGAGCTTGGGTGGCAAAAAAAGAAGACTGCACTGGAAGGAAACAGTGTTTTTCGAAAGCAGTTCCATTTTGCATACTGTAGTTTGAGAATACCAAAGGGCTGCTCGCGATCGGATGTTCCCACACCTGGATCGTCTTTGAGTTGTTATCGTTTTCCCTACGATGGAGAACGACGGAACCAGTGGATGACGGACACACGACTCGAGAAATTCGCTCCTGATGCAAATACTTCGAAGTACACGAATATTGTTCCATCGCTTCGTTGGCGAAGAGAAAAGTCATGATCATCCCCTGTCACCCCAGTACGTATCGAACTAACTAACCAACTTGTTCAGCTCATTTGTGGCAGCACCAGTAAAGGCGGAAACACGAAGATGATTCCGAACACTATCACCTTACTTAGTTTGTTGGGGTGCAAGGTATAGCTGGAGTTTGATGATTGATAGGGCTGATGCTGATGGTAATGACTAATGTACCCAGCTCTATGCACGTACCTCTACATGACTGGTGGTGCTAGCTATTCTAGTACTGGCCCTGGGTGCAACTCATCATCTCTTCCATGCCAGTGTGTATGCCTCATGTTCTGCACAACGTATTTCCTTTGTCATGGATAAATACTCTGATCGACCTACTTGCGCAATCTTCTTCTGCTTCCCACTTGGTTGCTGCGCTGTGCAGTTCTTCATCTGCTGCGGCACATACTAGTATACCTCATATTCTGTCTTTCTGGTCAATTAGGTACATGTATTCAGCTTCTTGATCTTCTTGTGGTGAGGATCATCTTGATCTTACTTCTTGTGTAACTCTTGCAAAGACAGTAATGGAGGACACTCTACCGGTAATCAGCAACTGCTTATGGAGAATGCCAGGTCGAGGGACGGCCAGGAAAAAACAATTGCTGTATTGGATGTGCATTCATCAGCGTGTTTTAAGATCAGGACAACTAAGTTCGCCACTACACCAACTTTTTGGCTACATAGGAGCAATGATGATGATGGCCGTGTTTGACTTCGTCAGTTTTCGTGCTACCAGCCACCGCATGTCAACATTGTCATACTCGTACTGATAAGGAAGAAAAACCCACACACGCACGCGCACACACGCACACACACACACACACATGGATACACTGACAGGCATGCAAAGCAAGAGAGACACAGAGAGAGAGAGTCAGGCAGCGGAAGAGAAGTGAGACTACTTGTAGGTTATGGCCCTATGGGCACGGTGCTCCAATTTCTGCCCAGCTGAAGTAAAATCCATGTACACTATTTTCGTGTAGTGTTCAGTGACGGTGCCAGCCACTGGTGAGTGACCCAGTGGTGTAGGTGTTGACATTCAGCACACATCACATTTCAGTCTCCAACGTAAATTCAGTCAAAACAACACTGCACTGCAGCAACATGGGAACATGCTTCTCCCAGGCCCACCATGCAAGTGCAGTGTGCGCCAAGAACAATTCCAGGTAATTCAGCAGCTACCCAAGGATGGACAGGTTCGGCAAAAACACTCCGCGAGTGCCTGACGTTTGCAAACGTATTTTGTTGACAGTTGTTGTTTCTTCCTTCGATTGGGCAAGACACGATAATGTGCCAACCCAGCCAGCAATGAGACACATGCATTTGTATCCATCAGGGCTATTGTAAGACTTTAGAGAGTCCTTTGCATATGTGCTGGGGACATTCACTAAATAATTAGAGAGGCCTGGATACCCAACGCAGGGGGATTGGCTGAAAGGTCTTCGTCCATAGGTAAATATGGATCAATGTACTGGGCCCACGGATTCTGTCAATCTTCTCGCGGCAACGCCTCTTCAAGGCTGGAATAAACAGTAGAGTAACTACGGCTAGTAATCCTCGCGACTTACCGAAACTATTCACCACATCAAAGAAAAGCAAAAGTGCTTCACCACTGCGACGGCCTGCAACATCATTTCCAACCGTACACCCGAACAACACATTTGATTCTCTTTTTGCCACCCAAGCACATTTTACCGTAGGACACGGACTTGTCTTATGGGTGATCTTTGGGTGGACACCGGGAAGGCGCCAAAAAGGTGATGTAATGGAAAGTCCTCTATAGTACACGTGTCATTGTAGGGTGATAGCCGACCTCATATACGCTGTAGATCTACGGGGAGATTATTTCCTCAGTATGTTGTAGGCAGTGCTGGAGGTTACGTGACGATGGCGGAGCCAAGTGCAAAAAGATCCAGGCAGCCCAGACAGCCCACCTCGAGTGCCGTGCGAGGTTTTTTGAAAAAGTTTTCTTTGCCAGGTTCAGGCACTGATCCTCTCGTCTTTTTCAGCAGCCATCATGACGAGCTCCGACAGGTTCTGCTCGAGGAGCTTCAGTCTCACCCTTTCAAGGTGGTTTTAGTTTTGAGGGTGGAGATGACACGAGAGTCGGCCACGGGTAGTACGTCTGCCGTCCCGTTTTTTAGAAGTAGACCGGCTCGGATCCTCAGCGAAGGGGACATTGATAGTGCAGTCAAGACGATGGTGGCGAGGATCACTGGTCTTATTGATAAGTGGGTGCAGAACGGATCCAACTGGACCGTTTCTCGAGTGAGACAGCTGGATGTGTCCACAGCAAAATACACTCCTCTTCGAGGTGAGTTTCTGTTCATCCGGCAGTGTTTGTTCGAAGCCTGTCGAATTTCTTGTGGAAAGTTGTAGATGTATTGTTTTGTACTAGATGTACAGTTTTTCGTGATTGTCGAGAGGGTGTAGTTGTGATGTGGTGTTACTCTGAGCAAAGCCTTCGTTGTATTTTTGTGGTGTTCTGTAGGTGGTGCAGCTGATATCCCGCCCAAATTAGAAAAAAAGAAGGCCATCATTAACGTAAAGAACAACGATGACAGATGTTTGATGTGGGCGTTGTTGTCAGCGCTGCACCCCGTCGACTACAACCCACAGCGTGTATCCAAGTACACCCAGTATGTGGAGGAGCTGCGGTTCGACGGTGTGATGTTCCCTGCAACTCTCAGTGATGTACCCAAAGTGGAGTTACAGAATGGTCTTGCAATCAATGTGTTTGGCTACGAGGGGAATCTGTACCCACTCTATCTCAGCGAGCGACAGGAGACTCCCATCAACCTGCTTCTTCATGAGAACCACTTCACATGGATAAAAAACTTCAGTCGTGCATGCGAGAATAAGAACAGACACGCAACACACTACTGCTTGCGATGCCTCTCCGCACACAAAACAGCAGACTCCCTGCAGCATCACAGCGAGAGATGTCAGGTGATGAAGCCTGTGCCAGTAGTCATGCCCACAGCAAAGGACAGCATCCTCAAATATACAAATTTGAAGCACAGGATGGTGGCTCCATATATCATTTACGCTGATACGGAGGCCATCATTGAGCCGATGGAGGAACAGCATGGCAGCAGCACTGTACGCACAGCACGTCATGTACCATGCAGCATCAGGTATGTTTTGTTGTTGGTGTTGTTTTTGACTAATGTTTGCTGTACTCATACCTGCACAGTGCTTGCTGTTATTCCTTCTTGTCTTGTTCTCCCCTAATTGTGTTCGTGTTGTAGTATGTGCATTTTGTGTGATTCCATTTTTTCAAAATCACTTATTCTTACTTTCCTTCTTCTTTTATGCTCTTGTAGATATGCTGCCATCCGATCCAACGGTGAAGTCCGTGGCGAGTTTGACGACTGCAGTGAGAATGCCATTCACAACTTTTTCGACAGTCTCAAAGAGTTGGAAGGCAGTATCCAGGAGGATTTGGCGGATATCAAGCCAATTCAGATGACGGCAGAACTGGAGCTTGAGTTTCAGAACGCAGTCAACTGCTGGATATGTGATGAAGTACTTGGAGAAGATCGTGTTCGTGATCATGATCATCTCACTGGTAAGTATTATAATTTTTTGTTTATTTTTGTTGTTTTGCAGTTGTGTGTAGATATGCGTATGTGTATAGTGCATTTTCATGTCTTTGTAGCTGTTTGCATCTGTGTTTTATCGTGGTGTATTGAATTGTATTGTCTGTGGTATCACCTTCACTGTAGATGTTTACTATGTTTGTGTATTCCCCTCTTTCTGAATATCTGCACAGGCAACTACCGTGGTGCTGCACACTACCAGTGTAATATTCAGCTGAGTATCTACCCAGATCGCCAGATCATTCCGGTTGTGTTTCACAACCTGAAAGGGTACGATGCTCACCACCTCATCGCCCACATTGGTATGACCGAGGTTGAAGAGGTGGAGTACGAGGACTCTAACCAGCGTAAGCGGATTAAGAAGGTTGGTGAGATCAGTGTCATCGCCAACAACATGGAGAAATATATTTCATTCAAGTGGCGTCAGTACCGCTTCATCGACTCCATGGCCTTCTTGAACTCCTCTCTGGACTCGTTGGTGAGCAACACTCCGGAAGATGCCTTCAAGCTTACTCGTACATTGGCCCATCATGACCTTCTCCTGCGTAAGGGTGTCTACCCCTACGAGTACATGGACTCCTTTGCTCGGTTTGATGAGACACAGCTGCCACCTAAATCAGCATTTGAGTCTAGTTTGACTGGAGAAGGTATCAGTGATGCCGACTATGCCCATGCTCAGAACGTATGGCAGGTAAGCAGCTTGTGCCTTCTGTATTGACCCTCGGAATTTCCCTGATGCCATGCTTTTTGCATTATTGTGCTCTACTTATGACTTTTGAATGCTGTTGTGATGTGCTCTACTCATTTTTTTTTGTACTCATTGCTCTCCATCTGTGGATGTGTGGATGCTTGTGTGTATGGATGTGTGCGTTTGTGTGTGTGCGTTGATGTGTTTTTTTTTTGTATTTTTTTTGCAGACATTTGAGTGCAGTACAATGGAGGCATATCATGACCTCTATTTGCAAACAGATGTCTATCTTCTAGCAGATGTCTTTGAGCATTTCCGCAAGACGGCATACAAGACGTATGGGTTGGATCAAGCCCATTACCTTACTCTCCTAGGTATGTTCATCAGTCTTTGTTGTTGTCCAATGCATTCTCTCCTTTAGATGGTGTTCTCTGTTAGTATTCTTGTGCTTTCTTGTCGGTGTATTTTTATACTTTTTGCATGGTGTATTGACTTTCGTGTTTGTGTTCTGGTGTGTTGTATGGTGTTATGTAGGATATGCATGGGATGCTCTACTACGGTTCACCCAGATTGAACTGCAGCTGCTCACGGATGTAGACATGCATCTGTTTGTCGAAGCCGGTCTACGTGGGGGCATCTCAATGGCGTCGCAGCGGTACGGCAAGGCCAACAACCCAACGATGGATCAGTACAATCCTGCCGAGCCCACATCATACCTGCTATACCTTGATGCCAACAACCTGTATGGCTGGGCTATGTGCCAGAGTATGCCGACGTCTGAGTTTGCCTGGTGTGACAAGAACCTGTCCGAGATACTGGCACACCCTGTAGATTCGAGCACTGGGTTCATTGTGGAGTGTGATCTTGAGGTACCTTCTTCGCTGCACCACTACTTCAATGATTATCCACTCGCACCGGAAGTGATGAGAACATTCTCAGATAAGCTATCACCATACCAACAAGCACTTGTGGAGGAGCTCAAAGTGTCAGCCGTAGATGGAGTCAAGTTGACACCCAGTCTCCTACCCAAGTCCAAGTATGTGTTACACTACCGTACACTGCAGCTGTATTCGCGTCTGGGCATGGTGGTGACCGCTGTTCACAAGGTGTTGGGATTTCAGCAGAGTGCCTGGATGGCTCCCTACATCAATCTGAACACTGCACTTCGCACGAGGGCTACAACCGACTTTGAGAAGAGCTTTTACAAGGTAAATGCAACCGTTGTGTGCAGTCTCGTATGTTGTTGTTGTTGTTTTTTGTTGTTGCATGTATGGTGCAAGTGTGACGTTGAGTATGCTAATTGAAAAATATGCTGATGTGAAGGAATGGCATGATATGATTCTCATGTGTCATGTTTGCCTGTTTGTGTGCTGCAGCTGATGAACAACTCAGTCTTTGGCAAGACGATGGAGAACGTTCGTAATCGAATACGCATCGATCTCTTGCGAGAAGAAAGTGAGGAGCAGGTACTGAGGGCAGTGAGCAAGCCTACATATGTGCGGCACGACATTTTCCCGAACGGGCTTGTCGGAATAGAAAAGCAGCACACTGAGATCAAGCTCAACAAGCCGGTCTATGTGGGTATGTCGATACTAGACCTGTCAAAGGTACACATGTACTCCTTCTACTACGATGTGCTGAAGGAGCAGTACGGTAGCAGAATCCGGCTGTTGTACACCGACACCGACTCTGTTATTGTGCACATAACCACCGGTGATGTTTATGCAGAGATGGATCTGTCTCTGTATGACACCAGCAACTTTCCCACTGACCATCCTCAGTACACTTCTGCCAATAAGAAAGTGGTTGGCAAATTCAAAGATGAGCTTGGTGGGAAATCCATGGTGGAGTTTGTAGGTCTAAGATCGAAGATGTACTCCTACATCGGGCAGGAATCGGCCAAACGAGCCAAGGGTGTGCGAAAGGCAGTCCTGGCAAATACCATCACCCACAAGGACTATGTAGATGCACTGCTCAGTCATCGTGTGTCTGCCAGGCCTATGACGGGTCTCCGATCACATTGCCACACAGTGTATGAGGAGGTAACCACCAAGGTGGCATTGTCTCCATTCGACTGCAAGCGGTATATACTGGATGATGGCATGGCCACACTTGCATATGGTCACAAGGACATTTAATGGGCAGGACCCCACATTGAACATGTTTCATCATTTTCATGCAAAACTCCCCGCCATTCTTCTGTCTAATATTCCTCCTTTCTTGACGTGTGGAGCTGGCTCCAACACTCTACATTTTTGTTAAATATTTCAGGCTTGTGCCTCAATTATATTGCAGGATATAGTGCATTGTGCGGTATAATAATCTTCATCGCATCATAAAATATTACCCTACATACTTTGGTTTGCAGTGTGTGCGCAGCATAGTCCATATATCATCAAATTGATCAAGTTCAGTATCTGCGGGCATATATTTCCCCAGCTTGAGAAAATGCTTATATACTTGCGTAAATTTATGCTCACAATGATGACATAAAAATGAGATTAAAGTCCATATGATGGCCAGTATGAATGTAGTTATGATGCTTGTTCTTTCGGCTGGTGAGGTTTGAGTGGATTTCTCTGCCACCACATTGCTGGCTCCGAACAGCACTGGTGCAAGCAGGAGTAGTTGTTGAGTAAGTTTAACTTTATTCAAACGCCCCTTCACTTTCTCATAGGCTTCGCTGTTGCTCGCAGTTGATGGCTCGGCTGATGGGGTGGCATTGCTTGAGGAGTCCATCTTGATCTTACTGTACCGGGAATTTTTTCTCACATCCATTCAACCATTAGTATGAGAAAAATTATGGCCAAAAAGGCTGAACGGGGATGAGTCCATACTGAGCGATTTGACCAGTTGAAGTCGTGTGTAAGGGTGTTTTCAAAACTTTGCCAACCTCCTTTTTCCGCCAACCAGGGCGAAACATTGGTGGTCATGTAATCTAAGTGCCAGGTCATGACATGATGTACATAGTGCAATCCCAGTTCCGTTGAATTCTCCATACAGATGTTCGCTAACTCGCTGCTGAATAAGTACAGGGCCACAATTTTAACATGGCTGATACCGTTTTTAAATAGTTCTTTTGCAAATGTAAGAAATTGCGTACGACCCGTTCTGGAGTTGAAACACAGTTGCTGCATCAGCACCTGAAATCTCGATCCACTGCGCCTGACTAAGCGACACACTCGTACCAAAACTCTAGAAAGCCGAGATGGTTTCGACTCCGGCGACGATACACATTGTGGTAGGTCTACATGACCTTGTTCTGCCAGTCGATCAGCAATAACAGCAGAAAGCAGATTTCTTGCAGTAGTCTGCATTGTGCACTGCATCATCGTTTCCCTCTACTACTATCCTTGGAAATATACCTCATTTCTTTCTGCGATACCCATTGGTTGAACTTTTCGGGGTATCCCTTCCACTTGACCAGCAAACTACCCTTACGTCTTTTCAACACCTTATCGATTCGAAATGTAGCTTGCGCAGTCTTCATGAGCTGCTGTTTGTAGAAGCTTCCTGTGATGGGTTCATCGGCAAGGTCTTTCACTTTGTAGGTGACCGGATAAGTGGGGAGAACCTTACGAATCACAAATACCTCTTCGGTCCAGTTGGGTGTGTATCCCTTCGCAAACATTCTTTTTTCCACTGTAATGCGAACTTTATCTCCGACTTGAAAGACAGGCTCATCCACAATGGGCTCATACAGTTGCTCAATCGGTTTCCCTAGGGAGGCTTCCATGGGGGTCATCCCAATTGTACGGTGTTTACTATTGTTGTAGTTGTCGACAAGTTTTTGCAGCACATCGATGTAGACGTTGGTCGAGCGAGCGGTGAAGTGCTTCCACATACGAGATTTTAGCGTTCTGTTGAAACGTTCAACGACGACGGCTTTTCCTTCATTCTCTGTACTGTACATGTGAATGTCGTTTTTCTTCAACCACTCCTTGAACGTTTTGTTATAAAATTCCGAGCCATGGTCCACCCATAGTAGCTTAGGTTTCCGATTGGTTGTGACGGTTTTAAAGGCTGAGACAACACTATCCCCGGTTTTGCTCTTAAGTGGCACACTCCAAGCATACTTCGTGTATATGTCTATAACATTGAGAATATATCTAATTCCTTCGTTATATTCGCTAAAGGGCTGCATTTCTACGAGATCAGCACTCCATACATCGTCCTTGCCGTAAACGTCCACTTTTCTGCGTGGGAAATGTACTCGCTTAGGTTTATGTAGCTCATCGGCAAGATCATCTTGCCAATCCCCACCAACCATGACTTGATCGTTGTGAAGGGTATCGTGAGAGAACGTACAGGAGAGGAATTCCAATACTCCGTCTATACCAGTCTTTGAGAAGACTTTCGCTACCAGGATGGCATAACGTCCGCAGACCGCTGTGCTTCTATCTTGAATGACTTGCGTATTGGTGTACAGGTTGCAGCCGGAATAAACATTAAGAAAACATTGTTTTAGTTCCGGTTCTTTATAGTCTTCGGCCATCTGCATCAATGCACGCCCGAAGCTGTCAAATATCAGAACATTATCGCCTTCCCTACACACCGTCAGCCAATGGTGTCCCCCTTCGGGTTTGTCCAATATCGGGAGTATGTTGTCCGTGTTACACACACAAAACTCGCCATGGTTTAAGGCAGGCAGGAGATCATAGCTAGTCACACCTCGGAACCCGCGAATGTGTTTCAGCGCAGACTCGATGTCCACGTTGCTCAGCTCCACATCCATACCTAGTATACCAGGGATTTTCCTTTCAGAATAGCAAGTGTTCGGTAATAGGGACTCCTTGTATTGCTAGCCACTTGCCGATTCTTGAAGACACTTTTGATAAAGGTGGCATCATCAGCCATGTACTCTTTGAGACCTAACATAAATTGTTCTGCGTTGATAAGTTTTGCTTCTTTGGTTCGAGTGTAGGCGTTGATCATATCTCCTATACCGGAATATTTGTCTGCGGATCCTGGTATGGCTAGAAGCTGAGTTCTTATTGCAGCCAATTTCACATTACTCCTCGAGTGGTTTGGAAGCGCATTAAGGTTGGCTGCTGCTGCAATCTGCTGGAATGGATAACGCGACAGGTGAAACTGATTGATTTGGTTGACCAGAGTAGCATAGTCTTTGAGGATTTGAAATTCGAGGGTATCTCTAGTGTTTTCCATTCTACCTCTGAGCCCCTGCTCATCCTCCTGATAGACTTGGTGTAGTTGCGGCCTTGCACTGAAGTGGCTGCTTTGCAGAAAGGCTTCCGGTATCTTATGGTCTACTAGGAGTTTACCAAATGTATTTATCACTATTCTATCAAACTTTGGCTCCATGGCGGTTTGCAGTGGGATACTAGCGGCAGAGATGTTTCGCCTCATTCTAGCCTCTGCTATGGACCCTCTTGCCATTCCAGAACTCTGATCATAATCGAGGAGATTCGATGCAACAGCATTAGTAACCGAGGATGGGTTTATCAGATCCGGATTGTTCTTAAATGTTCTATCATACATAGCCTTTACTCGAGGGTTTGATTTCACTTGGGAGATAGGAAATGGGCGATCTTCTTCGGGGATATAGGCCAGTGCTTCTCTCACTTGCCCGGAAAATTTCTTATAATCTCCACCTCGTACTGGAGGAGTACCTTGAACCTCCCACACGGTGTCACCTTTACTCAGGATATCCTGGGGGTTTTGTAATATCATCTTCATGGTCTCGTCTCTCTTCTCTGGTGGTATTGGGTGAGTACGGCCGTTGCACTCGATGCAGATAGGTTGGAAGTGCACCCGTATTCGCTCCATTTCTGTACAACGGGCTTAATCAATCTCATCCACTCCTACCCCCCGTGCTTCACAGCCAGCAATCCACTCAAAACTATCAACTTCGGATTCGATTTGGACAATTAGTTTTACTCTAGGGAATGTGACCTCCCAGGTGTCTCCAATCTTAGTGACGGTAACCGCATCCCACTCACTGTGGGTGGGTATAATGCGAACACTGACACCATCCATACTTACTATAGGCAGAAAATATTTTATTCAAACACAACCTTCGATGTTATAGAATCACAGTGAGTATAAAACTCATTGCGTGATGCATCGACCGCTAGAAAGGGTCTCCAACAAGCTTCTAATAGTTTTTCATAGAGTTTATAGACAAGATTAGCTTTCAAACAGGATCCGCCAAATAAAGTATGAAGATAGCGTTTGATGTTGGATTTATCTGTAAAGCGAAAAAGATAGAGGAAGTTGGTATTTATCTTCATATCTTTGATGTTATCAAAGCTTTGAGAGAGAAAGAACACATTAAGTTCATAATGATGGCTATACATGGTGAAAAACTTGTAAAGACATTCCCTCTGACTGCCATGCTTCAGTCCCATGACACGTATATCATCTATAATGACAAAGGACTTGGGCTGAATGTCCGTCTCTTCGATACACTCAGGCATTGCACTGTAATGTTTCAACTCCGTGCCTTCCTGCCTGTATTGCTCCGGTGAAGTATTGGAGATGACGTAAAGTCGTTCCGGCTTTACCTCTCGAAGTATTTCCTTGAGGTAATGGGATTTCCCCATGCTGCTCTGACCCAGAAATAGCACATTTTGTCCCCATGTTTGGAGGGAGGGGAGAATCTCAGAGTACTTGGGTTGAGATCGTAGAGACAGACCTGCTACGCGGAGTAAAGAGGCAGACCCTCCTTTCAGAGACAGCAGTGATGAAAAGTCCATACTTACTATAACGAGAAAAAATTAAATGTTAAAGCTCTGAGGTATAAACGAAGGGTTATGGGTATTTTCTATGCGAGTTCGGATACGGTCAGTAATGGTTTCTGGAGGGTTTGAGGATCGTCGTCTTCTACCTCTCTTCTTAGCTCCTGACTTGATGCCGGACTGTACTCTCGACTTTGCATGTTCAAACAGCTGCCTTCCCAGACCTTCAACCTCCCTCTTCAAACCGTCTCCTTTGCGCTTCCTTGCACGTTGCCCCCTGGAGAATTTGTTAGTGGGTGGTAGCTTCGATCGTCTTTTCTGAGATCGTCTCTTGCTTGCTCGAGTACTGCTTTTTCTACTATTTCCCTTTCGACCCCGGCCAAATACCTTGTCCACCAGATTGTCACCGACGGACGCTAGCGCCCCCATAGCTAAGGGTGCACCAACGGTTTTCAATATGGGTAGGGCTTTAGCCACGAGTCCCGGTGGAATGCTCAGTCCGCCTCGCTGCATCATGGGTTCACGGCCAGCTACCATCTGACGTCTGATGGACTCACCGTCTTGACCTCGACCCAAGAGCATGGGAAGAAGCGACATGCCTAACATCGCCCCCATCCCAAGCCCACCCCTCTGGGTGAGCTTTTGGCCTTGTTCGGGGTCTTGCATTCTTTTTCGAAGCTCCTCAGCCTGTGCACCTCCAAAGATGTTTTTGATGAAGCCCCAGATACCAGACCCGTACTGTCTTTCCAAAGTCTGTAGATCACCTCCCCACGCTCGGGGTGTGGTTTCCAAATCTCCTCCCTGCATTGTTACTATAACGTGGAAATATTTACAC